CTGAGCAGCATGACACATGATCAGTTTCTCACCTTCAATCAAAGCGAGCTACCACATTTTCCATTTGACCAAACAGCCTTCATGAAACCAAACTTAACCTCAAGGCAAGCACAATGTTTTCAGTTCTCAACTCAGAACAGTTATTTGTGCTGTTGTAGATATATTTAGAGCATTTTCATTGTTTGCAGTTGATCCTGAGAAAACTTTTTATTTATCAGAGCTTTGTTCGGTTTGAGGTTGACCCAGAAAAGTTTTGTGCACACTGATGGTGTTGTCCCATTTAGCAATTTCTGGGTGGAAAATCTTTTGGTTAACAGTTCTGAAATTGTCTTGGACGCCGGACTAAACAAAGCAGATAGCGTAGATAAAGGCAGGCAGAGGATAATCGGTGAGAATGAGCCTAACTTTTCCAGCGTTTAGTGGTTGAGAGTGGTGGAGAGGCAGCTGGGAGCTGGCACAGCCTCAGTGGGAGGCGCCCCCCCCCCCACAGCCTGATCTTTCCACTGAAGGTTAATCACTGCACTCGGAGCCTTCATGTCTTTTGAAAACACAAAAAGAGATGTTGACTCATGAGACGTATCGATACGAGGGCCGCCGCATTTTCACAAGAAACTGTCATCAAGGCTTTCAGTTTTTTTAGTCCCAACTTACATGTGTTACTGAAGGTTGAGTAGCAATTAGTTTGACATTTTTAAAACCAGTCATTACCTAATTACTTTGCAACAAACTCTTTCAAATAAGTACCTTTGAGACTGAATATTATCTGAAGAACCTGTGGCTGGGATTGCTCTGCAAGCAGTTTTTTTTTTTACCCGTTCAGAGAACATCAAAGTAAAGTCACACTGTCAGGAAACCCTGGTGACATATTTACACACACACACAAAAAGAAAAAATGAATATGTATAAGCACCTATCAGCTGAGGGTCTATTGAGGAAATTTCAGCATAGAATTTCAACACAAAAACTTTTTTTAAAAAAGTTTAGATCCTTTCCTGGTGATGCAGAGTGAGCTGCATCCAGAGCTGTGAGGCGGTTGGATATGGTGATGTTGGACAGAAGCCTGCCTTTGTGGGGATAATGTCACAATTGTTAAGGATATGCGTTGGACGTATTGGAATCAGTGGAATTTACTTTCCTATGCACTTGTATGCCGTGTATGTCGTTGTTGGCTCAGCATTCGATCTGAAGAATGAGTAGGAATATTTGCAAGGCCATTAGTTTAGTTTATTTTTTATTTTTTTATGTTTATTTTTTTTACAGCCTGTGTCCAACCAGTTACTCTGTGCCAACGAGCACATCATCTGGCCCGAGGCCGTCCATCAATCTATAGTTAGGCAGCCACATGTACTACCTCTCTACTCCCACTAACCCGTCCATCACAGGTCACTGACCCAGCATCACTGACATTAATAAAGCAGAACAGGGACACAGTAACCTCATCCGAACCCAAGCTCCACATTACTCCTCACACGTGTTGATTGACATTAATTATTTTAGAAAATACTTAGAAAATATTTAATTCTCCCTTAACTTGGTTTTAATGATGCAATTTTTCCACATGCATTTTAATGGGTTACCTTCATTTTAGTGGAAAAATATATATTGGTAAAAAAAAACATTTGATCGAATGTATGGGAATCAGAAATACTTTAATAATCCCAGAGGGAAATGATTTGTCCTATTATTTATATTTGTATTTATTCATTTAGTGAAACCTCTGTCACTCCTGATATTGTAAAAAAAAATCTATAAAAATGCACATGTGATGAGAAAGGAAGGTAAAAGACACCCCCTGATGTTCTTTTTGAAAAGCTTATAGTTTTATTAGGTGGAGAAGACTCGGTCAGGATTTGGAAAGTTATATTTTTTATGTTTTTCCTTCCATATGATGGATTTTTATGACTATCGGAGAGCAAATTATTAAGGGTTTTGGGCAATTCTTTGACATCAGGTGTTCCCTGTCAATATATTTCTTTTTCTCAACTGTTTAAAGTCATAGATCTTTCTGTGCTGGGCATGTCTGAACATGTTTGAAATGTAGCGGCTCTCCCGTCCACTGTGGACTCAGTTTAGTGGTAAATACTGTGGAATTAATTGGCTGAGTGTTGTACAGATTGAAAAAAAAGGTAATTTTTTATCATTTTATCTTTTTAAAACAAATTTCCTAGAATTTAGATTAAAACAGGCTTGCACAAGGCTGTGTTTTGTCTGTTGGATTATTATTTAATGAAACATTAATGCTTAAAGCAGAGGAGAAAAATAAAAAGATGCAGATGGACGATTTTGATGAATCCTAAATAGCTGGAATAAGGTTTTGATCTGCCTTTTCCTTTATTTTTGGACATTCATATCGAATACAAATGCTCATGATCTCTGGATAAGTGGAATCATCATCCTCATCATGAACAGCAGCTTAGATCGATGTCTGTGTGGTGAACGGCACAAACGTGACCTTATCAGTGAGAATAGTGGGTGTAAATGACCCGAAAAGAGCCCGACTGTCGGCTTGTGTGCGTGGAATTCAAACCCCGATCCGATCTGAACGCTGTGGATCGGCTTGGCCCACAAATCATTATTTGCAGAATGGAAACTGCTCCGGCTCACCAGTGGCCTCTGCTGCAAACCCGATTTTTTTTCCTTTTTTCTTTTTATAGTGGTGTTGTTCTGCTCCCGGTTTTATGTAATAGCACCGGTGCAAAGCTGCCCTTGAGAGTAAACTAGCAGCCGTTTGATGTTCGGATCTGTGCGGGCAACACTGAGCATGAGTCATCCAGAAACCCCCACACACACACACACACACACACACACACACACACACACGATACTCTGAGCAGCAGCAGGAATTACAGCACAGTCATCAAAACCACACCGCTTGTTGTTGTTGTTTTTTAAAAACTTGTTTTCTTTTTTTAAAAGCGTCTGATTTTTATCAGCAGAACATGAGGACGTGGTACCAACGGTCATCGTCGGTCTTCCCTCAGTGAACTTATTTGTGGAATGAATTGAATGATGAATTTAAGTTATGTCCTTTCTTGGTGAACTTTAAAAGAGCTTTGAAATGTAAAATGATCAAATCTTACGCTGTTATGTAGATCTATATATGTACTATGTACTATGTAATCTGAATTTAAAGAAATCCTGGTAGGTTGTAAGGTAAAAAATCGGGTAGGCAAGAATAAGCTTTGCTTCGGCCTATTCCTTTTTTGGTAAACTGTGGGTTTGTCTATTGTTCTTTTCTTTTTTTCTTCTGTTGTTTCTTGTGTTTAATGTGGACAATTTACCAAAATAAAGTGATTGATTGATTGATTGATTGATTGATTGATTGATTGATTTGTAAGATATTAACATCATAGGTCATAGTGATTGCGTAATCGCGCTACAAACTTCCCTGATGCTTATTAACCAACAGGAGGAAAGTTAGGAAGTGGGACAGGTGTCTGTGGAGTTAATCTGCGGCGCAGACGTGGCTTTAAGTGATTGTTTACATAATATCATCCAGTGGCCGTGTCCTCTGGGTGCTGAGAGGCCTTCAGGGTCACACACCGAGGCTTAAGGCTTTTCTTTTGTTGTGTTTACGTTCAAACCAGTAGCCGTGTTGTCAGTGACCACTGGGACTCGATGGCCATCTCTCAAACCCGCTGACCTTTGACCTCCTCCTCTGACATCACTGATGAGGAAAAGGGTCGACTTCCGACAGCCAGAATGAGAATTTAGTCTAATTGTAAAGGTGTTATTTAGAGGCAGTAATGGCTGCAGGGATGGAGGAGTTGTATTGTTTTCGTCATCAACCCTGAATTTTTGCGTCTACCTTAACCTACTATGTGTAATAGGGGTGTCCCGATTCAGCTTTTTCCACTTCCAATCCGATCCCGGCCTATCAGAGCATGTATTCAAGTTTAAAGTTATTTATCTACTCACTTAGTTGTCAGACTCATGTTGAACAGGGATTTACTCTGATAACAACTTAATGGTTAGGACACAGAGCTGTGGGCTACAGATGCTAATGCTAATTCTAATGATTGTGTGGGATCGGACTGTAAAAAAACCTGGATCTGGAGTCTGGATCTGCATTTTCTCCTGCCGGCCGATACGCAGTTTTTTGAGAATATCGGCGGCCGATCGGATCCAGATATCGGATCAGGACCAGCCTACTGCATTTAATTATTGCAGATTAACAGTCTGAGCATGTTCTCTGCATTTCTGAAAGGTTTTAGCTTCTTTGACAAAGGAGACTAATTAAATATTTGTTGAAAAGAGGATTCTTGCTGTTGCCCCTTTTAGCAACCTCTTAAGTCTATTAGGTCAGTGTTTTTCAACCACTGTGCCGTGAGTGATGGTCAGGTGTGCCGTAGAAAATCATCCTATTTCAACTAATTGGTCTAAAAAGATTTTTGATAAGGAATTAATCATCTACAAATAATTTTTGAGTGTCTGTGCTGTTCTAGTGACTGGTGGCGTAATCATGTAATAATTCCTTATGACTAGATTTTGTATATAATTTTGTATATTGAAGTGGACATGTTAAGTGCAATTTGAAAGAAGAAATATAAAATATGATCAAAATACATTTTTGTTTTTATTTGATTCCTATTCAAGACACTTAAGATAAGAATAAGATAAGAATAACTATAGTGTTACTATAGGCAGCTACAGATTTCTTTTGACATTTTGGGTTGGTGGTGTGCTTCGTGATTTTTTCAATGAAAAAAGTTACCTTGGGTCAAAAAAGGTTGAAAAACACTGTATTAGGTTATTGGATCGGGACCGGCCTGCTATGTGATGGGGATTTTACTCCTGTACAGGAGGGGGGACCTAAGCGACCCCCGCCTGACTGTCCTTGTAGTCCTGTTGTTTTGTGCGATGACAACAAATGAAGTCTAAGTCTCTCCCCGTGTTTCTGGCAGGTGTTCCCCTCCTCTGGGCGGCGGATGCCGAGGCCCCCCCGCCGTTAGAGCTCCCCGGGCTGGAGCGTCTGCTGACCCGCCTCCGGCCCCGGAGGCCCCCCCCCCGCCCCCCCCTCCACCACCATGGACCAGCAGCGAGACAAATACGGCGAGCGGCCGGCCAGGAGCACCAAGGTGTCCCAGGGCGGCCGCAGCGGGCACTCCTCCAGACCCTCCGGGTCCTCGGGGTCCTCCGGGGTCCTCATGGTGGGGCCCAACTTCCGCGTGGGGAAGAAGATCGGCTGCGGGAACTTTGGCGAACTGAAACTGGGTAAGAAACTTTTTTAAAATGATTAGAAGCTGAAGCCTCACAGGTTTGTTTAGTTTAGTTTAGTTTAGTTCAGTTTTATTAGGATCCCCATTAGCTGCCAAATAAATGGCCACTAGTCTTCCTGGGGTCCTCACATGAAGAAATTATATTACATTATAAACAGATCATACAAATAAAAATAAAAATCACAGTAGGAAATAATAAAAACATAAACAAGAGTAGACTATACAACATATACACACAGGTCAGTTCATGATATCATTTGCAGTAGTTCTGAAGACACAATATTTTGCAGAGAACTTTGGCGAATTGAAACTGGGTAAGAGAAGTTTTAAAATGAGCAGAAGCTGAAGCCTCACAGGTTTGTTTACGGGGCATTTTGCAGAGTTTGAGTTGCCTTAAATCTACAGAAAGCCCAAAGACTAATGCACCTTTACTCTCTCTCCTCAGGTAAAAACCTCTACACCAATGAGTATGTAGCTATCAAATTGGTAAGTACTGACGTCTTTTCATCTCCTTTACAGTTCAGCTCTGTTGTTGACTTTCAGAACAATTGATTTAAGAATTTAATTGATGTGGGATTTGTTCAGGTTGAAAGAAAAATGCATCAGTGATATTTATGTAGAAAAAAACATTGCCAAATATTTTTACAAAGCCTTTTATTTTAAAAGCCTTAGTTGGAATACAAATCAGAAATCAGAAATAATTTTCCTCTGCGATATTAAATGTATTTATTTATTTAATCAGGACAGTGCACATTAATGAACAATCTTATACTTCTGTACAGATTATAAATGAGCCAGATTATAGCATAGTTGCTAATTTACATCTGTCGTCCAGAAGCAAGAAGACAAAACAATACAAGATCACATAATACAATATCAGTCAAAACACACAGACACACGTTCAGACAATCACATCAAAACAATAAAATTACTGAGTGCATGACGGGGAACTGACGGCAATAGTGACTAATCAGAAATCCGGACATTAGGAAGTGGGAAAAAACTGATGCCGGTCTGTGGGGGGGGGGGTGGAGCCAGGTATCTGTTGGGTGATACAGTTCTGCTTTTCCAGTGAAATCTGGCTGACGTGCAGATGCTCAGACGGCCTCCCGGCTCAGGCCCTTATTATTATTATTATTATTATTATTATTATTATTATTATTATTATCGCTGACTCCAGTTTCAGTTTGCATCAGCAAATAGTTTTCTGCGACTGACCTGAGCTGTTCGCCTCCTCGGTGGAAAAATGTTTTGAAATGCTCTGAATGAACTTGACTCAGTTGGGAGGGGGGGCACAAAGAAAGGGGTTTTAATTTTGGTTTGTCCTTCAAACAGAAACATGTTAAATTTTAACTTTAATTGTTTAAATGACACTGTTTTGGTTGTGTTCGTTGCTCAGGAACCGGTGAAGTCGAGGGCCCCACAGCTGCATTTAGAGTACCGGTTCTACAAAACTCTAGGAACAACAGGTGAGGGCGCATGTTTTTTTATTTATTTATCTAATTTTTTCTTTTTTTTTAAGTCCTTGCCATGTTTACATGTGACTTCAGGAAAATGATTCCACTGTTTTGGAAGATCGGCCTAAAGATTGTGTCATTTCCACAACAGGCGATTACCCGGTTCAGGTTACATGTTGACACAGGCCGGATCTGCAGCTTATTTTAATCTCCTGCGCGGTTTAGAGGACGTGCATACGATGCTTATGAATGGAAACCCCTGCAAAATGGATATACTCGAGGTTTAATACAAAGGGTTTAAGCCATTGTCCTCATTTACCCGAAGCATATTGAGTTGATCTGACTCTGTGGGCGACTGAAGGCACAACTTCCCTCTCGGGCTTCAGGACAAATTGTCTTGACTCTGTTTCTTGACCCATTTTGAGCATTTATTACTGAGTTTGTAAGATTGGCCTTTTGTTGAGTTATATTGTCTATTTTCTGTACGCGTTAAAGCATGTGTTTATGTTTAGTTTTTTGCTTTTTTTGTGAATAAGGCAGTGTTTTTGTTTTCTAATGCACAAGTATTCAATAGACGTCAAGACTATTTTGCTACTTAAAACATTTCCTGGTCAGAAACATCACACATGATAACTACCAATGAAAACATAGAAATGACAGGATATCGTAGAAGGCCTGTTATCTTGCTGCTGTGTGTAAATGCTGTGCTACGGAAACTGTGAGCAGAGAGAGAAGAGAATTGGAGAGCTTCTAGCATTTCATTTAGAAGAAAACTTGAGTTGACCTAAATTTGGATGCTCAGTAGGTTTGGACTAACATTGTCATTATCTGTCACTAGTGGAAGGATGATGGTAAACCACATTTATGTAGTGTGTTTTCATCTGTTCTCACAGATAAATATGGGGGCTCCGTTTATTGTGCAGTGTGGCATTCAGGGTCTGTTTACAGTGTTGCCTTCAGGGTCCGTGTGGCAAATGGGAAGCCCAGCCACTTCCAAGAATTCAGGGATGTAAATGATTCATCTCGACAATTAAATTAGTATGTGAGTCTTTATTTTTTGTTGTTGTTTTTTTTAGTTCTTTAGTTCCTTTTTTACAAATGACCCAAACAAATTGTTGATATATATTTCAATCTATAGTTTTTATTTTATTTTTTTAAACCAAAGTCTTTAAGATATTAGCCTATTGACTCAGATTCTATCAAGAAGCAGCTCTAGTGTTGTCATTTTAAATGCTTTGATAATAGCTGTTGGCAATAACAGTGCAAGCAGGCTAACTTCTTCCCTCCTATTGGCTCCTCTGTTGTCTTCCACATCTCTGATTGGTGATCAGAAAGTATTCAGTTCTCAGAATCCAAGCCGTACAAATAATTGTTGCTTCTCTCTCATCTGTTCATTCTGTTCCAAGTCATGTCGGAAAAGATAAAAAAGGCGTTCTGATGAATCTCTGCTGCACCCTGAGAAGATTAATCCAAGGATTAAATGACCATTAGAGAAAATGAGATTAAAAGCACATTTATAACAGGCCTGTATTTGAGGGAATGGGTGGGTCTGTTGTAAGTAATGGCGTAGTTAAAAAATCTCCCTTCGTGGTTATCTGTTCTTGTCATAGTGACATAGGTTAAAAACTAAGTGCTATTAATAGTTTGCATCTAATCTGGAGCTGTTGGTGTCTGTAAATGGTTTGTAATTGATTAACTAATGGCATCTCTGCATCACTGCCACAGGCAGGCCTCTGGATGGCTGAGAAAATAAGAGCTGATTTTTATTGTGGCACATGATCCTTGGCCAGGTTTTTTGGAACACTACATGCAAATCCGATAACCCAACTGGGAGTTTAATGGCTATTGTTTTGCAAAGGCAAGGACTGGAAAAGGCCAACTGTGCGGAAACTCATTAAATATTTACAGAGCGGTTCTGCCTCTCTTAATACTAACCTACCTCTGTCCTTTCCTCCAGATGGGATTACGTGACCTCATTTCTTCTGGGCTGTGCGCCGGGCCACATTACTCAGCCCGCGTGATTGTCAGTCTTTGTTTGATGGAGCCTTTGTGAATTCATTTTGTGGGACCTGGATGCTCAGTCAGGTGTTTTCTGAAGCACAACCGACTGTCCCTGGATATTAATGATGGGGGATCACTTTAGCAACAAGTACTTGCTTTCATATCTTATTAGAGAGAAGGCAGAGTTTAAGTCCTGATATGTCTTGACAGAATCGCAAATTTGTGGCTGTTTTGAGACGTTCGAAAATGAGATTTTGAAGGGAAACGCTGCTTGTAATGGAGTGGGTGAAATCCGACACCGCCGCCGTAAGCATGGCAGCTGCAGAGGAGTAAACACTTCTCAGTACGCAGTTTGTTTTAGTGAGAAAAGCAGAAAGCAGGGAGCTGAGCAGAGCGTTTGGTGAGGATGGAGACGGTAAAAAGCCTTCTGTCTGTTATCAGAAAAGCACAGTGACAGTCCAGCGGAATTCCCACCGGAACAATGTCCCCCTTCTCTTTTTGCCAAGTAGAATAAAAATGTTCAGGCGGGTGATCTCATCATAGTAGTCTTTAACTCGATCGCTTGTGTTTCAAAAGCTTCGGTTTACGGTGTAATGAACTCTGTCGGAGAATAACGGGGCGAGCATGTGCAGACGTGTGAATTGTGCTGTTAACGAGGCTAACGCCAGCACCACCATCCCTCCGACGGGGAATTTGGTGCTTAAACCGGTCCCGTTTTGTGGCTGTTAACGAGCCTGTGTTGGCTAAGCCGGGCTCCGTGCTGAAAATGGGCCGGGGCTTGTTCTTTTCCATGTTCTTTTACCAAAAATAATCAAATCGGAAATGGTTCTGGCACCTGAAACTGAGGAATCAAACAGAAAAAAGTGGAAATGGGGCCCAAGTGTAGAAGCAATGTTATTTTAGTTCAAACAGAAGTGGTTCTTAGACAGATCGGTGACCCTCATTTAGAGATGACTCTTTGGTTGCGTTTCAAGGGACTTTAACCCCTTTAGGTGTTTGTTGATTCATTGATGCTAACATGACCCCTCAGCTGCCTCCAGGCTTCTGTAAAACGGAGTAAATCAATAGGCTGATCACCTGTCAGCTTATCGACTGGCAGGGACCCGAGATCACAATGACACAAACCACTTTATATGCTTTTACTTATTTATTTTCATTCTGTTACATTTCCATGAAACAAATGGATCCTCATGACTGCTGCAAAGTGGATTCGACCCAGTAACGGGTTGGCAGCCATCAGTTCGGGATGAAACATTTGGGGAAATCTGTGCGGTGTAGCCAACTTTAGGATTGTTTAAGGGTTTTCACATATGGCAAATAGCTCTAACCCTAACCCTCCCCCAATTATTAATCACCACTGACTTTCAGAAGCTGCTGTACATAAAGAAGAAAGCTGTAAAAATCTGAGGAATCAGCCTGGAGTTAGAAAGAGATAAAAAGAAGATGAGAGAAAGCCAGGAGAATTCATGTTTCCTCCTGTCCACAAGATCATTTAACTTTGAACAATCCTTTTTTTTCCCCCATTGGACTGTTTATTTGTGTATTTACAGAAAATCTCCCATCTGAGACATTTTGGGCCTCCCACAGTCACCTGGGCTTTCCAGGCTCTCATTCCTGTGGTACAATTAGCAACCCACAGGACTCCGTAACGGTGTCCAGAAACACAGGATGGAGCACAGCACGACTCCTCCGTTCTCATATGTCTCACGCTGGATTCTGCTCCTTATTAAGCTGCCACTTCAAATGCCTGCCACACATCCCTTTAAAGAAATCTGATATTAAGAACCCACTTGTGTAAATGACTCGTGTATGGGACTGAGAGAAAGTGACTACGATACTGTTCTATTACCAGATATTAGCAGCTAAAACAGATATGTGTACAATATCCTGATATTTGCTGGTTGGAAAGCGGTTAGAAGGAAACGGCTGGCAAAGGACGTTTCTTCTTAACAGTGGAGATGCTAACTTGAATTTTTAGGGCTTGAACAAAGAAAACAATCGGTGACTGGAGAGAGTTTTAGTTTTATTGTAACAAGGTGACTTTTTCTTTTGCATTTTATTTTGTAACATTTTCGTTCTTGCTTATTTCTATTTTCTATGTTTGTTTCTCTTTTGTCATTTGACGTGACGACAAAGCTGGACATGGTAACAAAATAACCTGCGACATGTGTAAACTATTTAATTCATATTGATATGATTTCTGTAACAAAAAAGAAATTATGGCACGTCCATGCTTTTATATTGGAGAAGAAATTCCTATACGTTAACAGTATGCAATAACTACAGATTCCACCTGCATGTGCATGTTTATCCATAAACAAGTAGTAAATCCACCTTCTTAAAGTACTTTCTTTTGTTTAAAACCTACTTGATCCTCTCTGTGGATACTCAGGTTTAACTAATGTTTTTTACTTATCTCCTGACCGAGCGGCCAAAGGACAGACTGTACGATGGAAACTTGCTTTGAAGTTTCTTGGGCCGGACTTTTTAATAAGACCCTGACAAGTGGTTTAAAAAAAAAAAAACTTGGAGTCATGCTTCCTTGATGCCAGTTAACAGCCTGACCTGATTTCCTGTTCTTTGAAACTGAAGTCCAGGTCGGGATGACAGCCGAGTATTGATGCCTCCATTTACCAAACCATGATGATGTGCGCATGCATCATACTTTAAACGATGCACAATGTTTGTCCTCCATCGGAAGACTTTTCATGAGTAATACCGGCAGGAAAACATTCTCAGTGCATTTTAAAGAGGACATATAATGCTAACCCAAGTTTTTAATCATGTGATTGTGTACATTTGGGACTGTGGAGGGCCTATCAGCAGGCAAAGTGTGAAAAAAATGACTGTCATGTTTTTGTGGGCTGTCTCAGTCTGAATCCAGGAGATAAATCAGGAGGTTTCAGGAGTGGGTAGTTTCTGACGTCATTAGCTCTAGCTCATTATAATATT